ACTTCCACTCTGGTTGAAAGTGGCTTCTATAGAACTTACAAAGATTGACAGGAATATGAAGTGAGACCTCCTCCTTTGTGTTTTAACTAAATCAGTGCTTTCTGATAAAAAGTTCATATGGTACTTAATCACATACTGCCTTTTAGAGTCTCTTCTGTCCGCTGTCATGTGTATGCAACTGTTCATTTACGTTATCTTCATTTTACAAGCGGATTCGTCTGTAAGCATTCTGAGAATAGAAACCAGTCACTCCGACAAATATTTACTGAGCATCTACTCTCTATTGGGCACTGTTCTAGGACTTACAGTTAATGCACAGAACAAGGTGCCAAGCCCCTGCTTTCATGAAGCTGGCAGTCTGGTCAAGGGAGAAAAAGAGACTAAAATAAGTAAATATATGTCCATATTAAAAGGTGGTTTGCAGAGATTTATAACATTTTAATGTAATTGCAAATAACTGACTAAATGACTAATCAGAAGAAGGCAGCTACTCCAGGAGCTGAAAGAGAACACATTCCCAGCTCCTACAACCTCCATAGGCATTAACTCAACACATTCAAGAAACGGAAAGAAAATCAGTGTGGCTGGAGCTGTGTGGGTAAGATGAAGGTAGGCAGGAGCCATATTATGTGATACTTTGTAAACTGTGAAAAAGATTTCAGATATTTCATATTAAATGGGATAGGAGCCCATTAGAGGAGCTTAAACCTGAGGGTGGAATAGGGAATAAAGTAATAAGATCCATTGTTTTTCAAAGATCATTCTGGCTGATATGATACAATGGATTTAGAGACAGCAAGAATGAAAGCAGGGAGACCAGTTAGGAGACTATATCATTTTATAGCAACTAAACTGAGAAAAATGAATGGATCGGAGCTTCAGTAAATATAGACAGACCCTCAGTTTGGAAATATCTACCACTTGGAAATGGAAATTCTAATATAATCCACTGGACCCACTGCTTCTTAACTGATGGGGTAGGGAAGGTACTGATGGGGATGTGGTGGGCAGTTAGACAGACATGAGCAGAGCTAGGACAATGAGTCAGGTACAGAAGGTCACCAGGGAGAAAAGCCCTGGGTGCCTAGCAAAGGACAATTGTAGGACTGGACCTCATCCCCAGGGTGACCTTTCCTCCCAAGAGATAACATCTAGGCCCCAGTTATATTTCAGCTCGAGGTCCAGAAAAGCAGCAAAACCGGACAAACAATGCCACCCTGCACCTGACCTCAGGACCAGCTGCATTGAATAGTGACCCCTGCCCTGGAGCCCACGGATCAATCAGTGGAGACCTGGATCCTGGAAGGACACACCTGGAAAACTGATGAATATTCTGTTGAGATCTTCCCCTGGGGCCTCTCCTAAAATCTCCACCCTTAAAACCCTTAGGGTGGAGGCCCAGGTGCCCTCTCCCACCCGGGAGCAGGCCCTGGCCTTTCCCTTCCTCCCCCTTCTGCCCCCAGGCAAGTCACCTTTATCTTCCTCATTTCTAAGCTCCAAAGGCCCTTCTTTTGTCTCTGTAACTTGTTTCCTAAGGCCATTTCTTCTATGAATTACTTCTTCTACCTCCGTGGTTTTCCAAATGAATGTTCTCTTATAGTTTGAGTGTTGGCTCTGAATTCTTTCCTGGCTGGACTCAGGTACGGAGGTTGCCGACCCCACTGCTCTAACACCTGTGCGGTTCTCACGGCCCCCAACAGGGCAAGTAGTTGACTGAATGGAAGGGAACTTACACTTTTGTTAGAAAGAAGCACACACTCTCCATAGTTTTCAAGTAATTGAGCTCTAGAAGAAAGTCTGAGGATAGCTACACTGAAAGCATCCCAGTTCTGTCCTCTTTGGCTTCATCTCTTCTTGTGGTTCTGAAGTTCGGATTCCTCTACAGCCCTCAGGCCCCCAGGGAGGTACTGCCACCTCTCATTTCGTCTTCGAGCCCAGCCGTGGATATGGTAATCCCCTTGACTTCTCATAACAAAGGTGAGACAGGCAGACATTTTCAGGAAATTTTATCAATGGTTTGTTAAAGTTTCTTTTTAAGGTTTTTTTTATTATTTATTGTTGGTACAAACTGGTCTCCATTTTCAACTTTAGTTTTAATCAAGATGATTAAAGACAGCATATACCTTTAGCAATTAATACCTTATTGATATATGACTGAATAAAATCTGAGGGGCAATCTGCCAACAAGTAATAACAGCTGGTTTCAATTTAGAAAAGGAAAGAAGGTGAAGAAAGAGGAGACGCAATGCTGACCACGTACTCTGTCTTTTGGGGGTGGCTGGAAGGCACCAGGTGTTAGACCAGTGGGGCAGACTGGACCTGAGTTCTGGCCAGGAAAGAATTCAGAGCCAAGACTCAAACTATAAGAGAACATTTATTTGGAAAATCACAGAGGTAGCATAAGTAATTCATAGAAGAAATGGGCTTAGGAAACAAGTTATAGAGGCAAAGGAAGGGCCCTTGGAGCTTAGAAACTAGGAAGGTCAAGGTGAGGAGCCTGGGGAAGAAAGAAGAAGGGAAAGGAGTAGGTGTGCTCAGGGGAGGAAAAGCGCCCTGAATCTTCCACCCTAAGGGATTTAAGGGTGGAGTTTTATGGGAGGTCCCAGGGGAAGATCTCAATAGAATATTCATCAGCTTTCAGGTATGTCTTTTCAGGGTTTCACCAGGGCAGGGGCTCATTATTCAATGCAGCT